CCACTGGTGACGTTGGACCTGTCGGCACGTGTTGGTTGAGAAGGGGAACAAGGTTGGAGGAAAAAGTTGAGGGATCAGAGATTTCTGTGCGGAGGGATAGAATACAAAGGTTGTGTAGCAACATGTAGGCGTTCTGCTTTTAATACCCGTTACCCTTTTCTTAAAAGGATGTCACGAGATTGTCGAGGATCTATCACGCGATTGTGATGGAAACGGAAGTAATTGCAACGATGAATTTTCTAAAAAAAAAATCTAAAAAATTAAACCTCTCCTTAAACCATCAACTAAATTACGACGAAAATAAAGATGTTTTCTGTCACAACAAAATATCAATATTAAAACAAAACCTTCATTGTTTTATATTCTTTGAATAATAACGTTCAAAAAAAGAAGAAATCGAAAAACGCAAGAATCCGAAATAAATATATCCTTGCAAACAAAAAAATCTCGAAGAGGCAAAAATAAAAGATGAAAAAAAAAAAAAAAAAGAAATCAAGGTCTTCTCCATACATACACAAAAAAAATTCACAAAGAACGTATTATCATCCGGGATCCCTTTTACACGTGCCACATAACGAAGCTCCATTCACTTCCGCGTGGTTTCTTCGAGGGGAGGGAAGGGAGGGAGTTGACTCGCGTCGAAAGATCGATACGAGGACACGAAGCGAGTTACGCGCGCTTCCACGTTCAATTTCAGAATCGGGAATATATTTATGCAAAACTTTCGCTTTTCATTAACTCACGAGATGATCGAGTTCTGTCTTCTTCATTTTTTATCCCCGATTGCCAAGGAAATTAAAGAATTTTTTAACTCAATTCTTAAAGACGAATCGAATGGATTGATTAAATTCAAATATAAATGTGGAAATTGAATTACTTGATAGGAACGGAAAATGTTAAATGTCGTTGGAAAAAAGGGAATTTTTAGTTGGAAAAAAATCGCAATTTATAACGCTTCGATGAGAAGTGATAAAAAATTCAAGTATTATCTGGAAATATAGAAATCTTTACTTAGAAATATTTACGACTAAAATTAAATTAAATATTGTATAATATATATACAATATAACGCGGTATCGTTTTATGTCGTATTTGAAAATTATATTTAAAGAAAAAGATTTCTTTCCTTTTCGATTAATCTTCTCATCGATTAACAGTTTTCGCCATCCCTTAAACTTCAATACAATATTAAACGCATCGATCAAAATTAACATCCAGTCGAATGAAATTTTCGCGCAATTCATCTCATCGATGACGTTTATTTCCAGGAATTATTTCTAGCCGGAAATGAAACGTAACTCAGGTGTAGAAACATTCATAGGAGAGAAGTTCATTCATAGCCGGGGCATTCATAAAACGTTCATTCGTCCGAGCGATACGAAGCCCGATTCTATTTGACTTTCGCACAATTTATGGCTTTCCAAGGCATAGCTTCCACGTGAGAGACGCGAGGAGTTAAGCAGCGAGGGTTAGATCTCGGTTAAACGACAAGTCACGTACTTGTCGAAGAAGCCGTAAATATTAGAAAATATTGCTCGAAGCTAACCATCCACTAACCGTTTCGATTTACTCGGGCTAAATTATATCCGAGATGACTATAAACAGATCGATCGAACTGCTTAAAATTTTCGAGAGAAAATAATAATCATAATTCGAGTGACAAGAAAAATATTTAACAAATATTTCGATCCTTTTCCAATTCTGTTCCGTACTTCTTCGAAAATAAAAAATACATTTCCAATATATATATTCTCCTTCTTCCTTATCCAAATCCAGCTCAACATATCGTACGAATCGGAATTCCATATTGACTCACACCATATGCTACGAAACAATCCATAGCCGCACGAAAGATTGATCGAATTGCTTAAAATTTTCGAGAAAAAATCTTCATAATAATCATAATTCGAGTGACAAGAAAAATATTTAGCAAATATTTCGATCCTTTTCCAATTCTGTTCCGTACTTTTTCGAAAATAAAAAATACATTTCCAATATATATTCCCCTTCTTCCTTATCCAAATCCAGCTCAACATATTATACGAATCGGAATTCCACACTTCCGGCTCACACTATATGCTACGAAACAATCCTCGAGCCACAGCCTCACGGAAGATTGATCGAGGCGGAGGCGTCACGTTGTATTAAGCGTCCGCCGGTGTGCATTGAAATATACCGTAATTTTTGCGGCGGCCATAAATTACCACGGATGCGGAAAACCACCGCTCGATAAATAATACCCGATCGATCGATCGATCGATCGATCCAACTTTTCAACCCTTGGCCGCCGCCTATCATGTACACCAGATAACTAAGTGGAGTAGGTCAACGGATAAGCCCGGCCGCCTTTATCTATCAACCCGTCGCCGACGCAATTTTCCCCACCACCGTCGAATCTTTTTTCTTTTCGAGCGTGGGGCCCCCTCGGCGACCGTTATTTCTCCGCCAACCCTTAAATAAACCTCGACCTATCGAGGGACTTCCGTATTTCACGTTGTCGTCGTCGGCCGGAAAAGAAGCTCCTTTCCTTCTCTCCCTTAGGTGATCTCGGCCTCTCGAAGTTTGTCAGGGGCCACTTTTTAACGACCGACCTTAATATCCCCTCTCCTCGACCCTCGGGGGTGGGATAGCAGCCAAAGGGAAGGGTTAATGGGTACATTATGCGGTAACAGCAGTTTAAATTGTGTAATACACGGCCTGGTTCGAGTTACGATTCCTCTTGGAGGGATATTTGTGCTGTGGGGAGGGGGTGGATGTTAATTAAGAAAAATAGGTTGAGTGGTTTAGGATAGGATAGAATAGAGCGAGCTAGTTAGTTGATTTTTAGATTAGATGGTTAATTAGAGGGGGGGGAGTTGCTATTTTTGGAAATAATTTGGAGGTGAAGAATTCGATGAATTCGAAGAATATTACTTCGATAATTTTTGCGAGATGGGAAGTGTAGGAAGTGAGAATTTTCTTGGATTTTTTTAAATGCGGTGGGGGAGAGGATAGATTCGAAAATTGATACTTTCGTTCATTTATGATACCTTCAAAAGCGAGGCAAGTTATAAAAGTTCAGATTCAGAATCGTTCTCACGTATTATTTCAAAAAATGTATAATATATATTTTGTAAACAATTCGACGAGCAAAACTGCAATAAAAGACACTTCCCTTCGAACAAAAGATGGAAACTTACGCGAAACGATCATCTTTCCTCGCCCGAACACCCGAACGAAACTTCCTCTCCAAACTATAAAATTCTCGACACCTTCAGTTCTCATCAACCTTCCTCGAAAAAACGAAAAAGAAAAAGAAGAAAAAAAAAAAAAAAGAAATTCCTTCGATCCACGTTCCACAAAAACGAACTACGAAATTCACCCCAAGTGTTCCCCTCTTTCCTCCTTGATTACCTCGAGACTTTCCCTCGGCAAGGAAGGAACAAGTGGGAAAGAATTATTTTAAATTCAACTCGGTTGTCATTATTAAATAAAAAAACGAAGAAGAGAGAGGGAGGATTCGGCGAGAGAATAAATCCTCCGCGGGAGGAGGTTTTCGTTTTTCGGTGGGGCGAGGAGGACTTACGTTTGAAATATTCGGAAGAAAGATCCTTTCTCGCCAGTGTTCGTTGGAGTAAGACACGCTCTCGAAATCCCTGGGGAAACGGGGGATCTCGGCCAATGGGACGACGGCTGCTTTTGTCTCGCGCTCCTGTCTCCGCCAAATAATTCATTCGCGAGACGACAAACGCGGTACACAGTTTACGATTCAGGGGAAAGAGGGGAATGATTCGATATATTTGAATTTGTTTTCAAATGGGATGAATTATATTCGCGCGAAATGGGGCGAAGCGAGGATGCAAAATGATTTCGTTGAGAAGAAGAAAAAGAAAATTATTTTCGTTTGAGATTTTGGAACGAGGTGGTATTTTAATTTTTCAAAAGTAGTGGTATACAGTTCCTTTCTAATTAAAAAGGTTTGAAAATCTCGAATGATCGTCTGAATCGGATTTACGGATGAAAATAAAAATTTTGATGCAAATAATCCGATTAAATGGAAACCGTGATGCAACGTTCAATAATACACATCTTCGAATTAAAAAACCATTTTCCACGTATATAACTTCGACGTATGTAATTAATTAACCAGTGAGGTATTGAACGAATGAAAAATCAATTTCGCCAATTGATTCCGCGATCGAAACCGAGAGGATATCGATTCGAGGGAAGGGAATGAAAATTTTATGCGATTAGGGAGGAATCAATCCCGCGAAGGGATAGCGCTTGTCACTGCGTATGAATCTTTGACGAGAAAGTAAGTAAATCGCGGTTCCCCGCTCGTTTGCTTCAAAGCAAATGCTCCTCCTCTCGCCGTGAGCTGGCTTACTTCTCGAAACCATTTTAATTATAAGTGTGCTTGCGTTTCAATTACAAGTGAAGTGCTCGTGCCCCATAAAAAAAGATGGAATAGTGGGGACGATTTGGGGTAAAAAAAAAAAAAAATAATAAAAAAAGGGTGAAAGAGTTTGAGTAGAGATTCTTCGCGCTAATTAGACTTATTTCTCCGCCCGTCGAGAGGGAAAGATTTGAAGGTTCAAGCGTCGTTGAAACGCGTTTCTCTTATCTCTTATTTCTTCGCAAAAAGTCAACGAGGGCAGCTATTGGATCGTAAAATAGACTTTTCTTTTTCTCTTTTTAATTTCTTCGATGATTAATCCTTTGCCTTACAATCTAGACGAGATAATTTTATTCAAAAATTATCCATTAAAACAAAATTAAAGAGAAAATATTCAGAATATTTTTGAATAAAGAATAAAATTAGATATCTTCTCGATTAAGCATTAGAAATCTAATATGTCGTTATAAGGCAAAGGAGTACATAATTCAAAGTACATAATTTTCTTCGAATGATTTCATCAATGATCAATATCAGAAAATTACGTACCATGTATTATCGCAGAGAGGAAAGGAGAAAAAAATCGCGAGTGGAGAAAGCGCGTAAAAACATATGAAAAACATACCAAGATCCATGAGATGTTCCTCGCCGAATCGTCTCACGGCGTGAACGTGAAGAAGCCCGAAAGCGAGCTGCATTCCGGTAGTGAGCAACAGGGCGAGGAACCCAGCTGCGCAGACCAACCACCCCCAGCCACCCTCTGGATAGAAATGCGTTCGCATACCGTCTATGCCTGAGGGGGAGAAGATTAGCCATCTTTATTATTATCCTTTCTCCTTCCGTTTATTGTCAACTTGTACTTTTCCACCATATCGAAATATTTGGATTTGGACGTATTTAACTGCGATTTATCACAATTATTGGGATCAAATTTTTTTTATCGAAGAAATATTCGTTTACCTGGACGACGAAAAGTTGGCACGCAACGATGAAGGCTTCTCAGATCACCGAGCACCCAATTGTTATTCCCCATCATGCCATCGTGCATACTCCCCTCCGTGTCCATATAACGCATTCGAGTATCTGTAAATCAAATAAGAAAAAGAAAAAATATTAAAATAAAGAAATAATCGATATGATGGATGAACGATGATAGAGATTTTTCCAACCCTTCGTCGTTTGGATGGAAAACAAGTAAGAAGAGCAGGCGCGGATTAACTCGTCGACGGATCAGCCACCTATGTTTTTACACGATTCGACGATATGTTTGCAGGATTTAATTACATCGGTGAACGGGTCGCAGATGTGACCCATCAATTCGCGTCCGTTTTTTATACTCCTACTTAAGCCGTATAAAGATAAAGATAACACACCGTTTTTCTGTAAATGCGTTGAGGACGCGAGATAAACGCTCGAATTGTTCGAATTTAAACTCTCGAACTTACGAGAGTTTAACGTTAATAAAAATTTAAGCAAGTACGAGTATGAGAAGAAAGATTTGCGTCTTGTTTTGCCTCTGATGTTAAACTCGAATTTATATTTAGAATTTGGATAAATATATATAGATATGGAATAATTAGCATTAAATCTTGGCGCCATATAATTGGCAGTGTTAAGCTCTGAAAATTAGCATTATCCATTTGTACGACCCCACGAGTGTCATTACCATACTCCGTGATCCTAGAGTTATCGCCATCTAGTCTTGTATTCGCGAAATTATCACCGGCGAATCCTATAAGCTTGAATAGTCGATTCCGGAATCCACGTCTTTAAATCTTCCAATTTATTAGCGCAATATTACCGTTTCAATCCTGTCGTCGTAAATTTCTAAAATTTACGACAATTATTGCTCCTTATTAATCCTTGTTAAAAAGAAAAATAATAAAATAAAAATAATAAAACGCATAATTTCATACTAAAAAAAAAAAAAAAAAAAAAAAAGTTTTATCGACTTTCGATGAGATATTTCCATTTTTCTCAAGCAATATTCAAAGAAAATTGAACACGAAAAAATGTATACGTCGAAAAATTAAAATTTTTAATCGAGTTAGTTATCAAATATTTCTGAATTTACTTTTCGTAATCGAGAAAATTTTCGAGCCGTTGTAAAATTGGTCGTGACCCGAAGAGAGCCGGAACCGGGTGTATCAACGAGGTTTCCGCCTGGCAACCACTGCCGCGTGCCACGGGGTCGGGGATGAAACGAGTTGAAAGAAATGAAGAGGAAAAAGAAGAGTCAAGGGGGTTAGATAAAAGTGCTCATGAAAAGGAGATGCCAGTTGCCATGGGGTGAGAACGAGGGACGGCAGACCTGTGGCCGAGGGTTCGAGAAAACGGATCGATGATTTTCAAACGAAGAAACACATTCGTGAAGAATCTTACGAGGCTTACAAGTTTGCTTCTCTTTAAGAGATCTCTTTGTAGTATTTTATAGCGTGAAGAAAGCATCATTAAAAGCTTCTTAATATTTATCGCGGAAATTGACAAGCACAAGAATAAATAACATCACAGATTAATATTACGAAAATACATTTAAAAAAGTAAGAGATGGATTCATGGCAGGAATTGAGTTGCAATTTTTTTCCAGTGGAAAATATTCACATACATTTTTTTAATCCCTCTTTTGTACTTTTTTTTTAATCGTCGTAAGAGCAATTCTGTATATCCATTTGTCCGTTTTATTCCGTTAGATCTGTGTTTCGATAAAAAAAAAAAGAAAAGAAAGAGAGAGACAGAGAGAGAGAGAGAGAGAGAGAGAGAGAGAGAGAGAGAGAGAGAGAGAGAGAGATTAGAAATATTTCAGAAAATATCTCTTGTAAAAATTGTTGTATCAAAAATCTGATAAATATTATATTCGGACAAATAGAAGCTGAATTCACAGGAGAAATCTAAAGAGAAATTTTTTTTATTTTTTTATTTTTATTTTTTTTTCGAATTACGTACATGTACGAGAACGACATCGTCGTAAATCGATATTTCCACAAACAATACAAAGAGTAAACAAAACTGTTACTTTAGACCATAGAATAAAAAGCCACAGAGAACAGAGTCGCGCAATTCGAATTTCCACCTATTTTTCGAAAACCAATTTTTCGATTCGTATGCGTGCTCACGTGAACATCATTTGTGAAGAGGTAAAAAAAAAAAAAAAAAAAGAAGAAAAACGAGAAAGAATGTAAAAAGGGGAATAAAAAGGAGAAGAAAAAAAACGAAGCAGCAGTCAGAACGAAAGCAAAGAGCGAATAAAAGAAACAAGGATCGGTGTGACACGTATTCTTAATTGTGCCACGACCCTTCGCGCCGCCATCGTTCTTTACCACTTCTTCTTCTTCCTTCTTCTTCTTCTTCTTCTTCCACCTTTCTCTTAATTACAACGGCCAAGTTTCCGCAAACAGCAAAAGTTCCCCGTAAAATTCGTCTTTACCGAGCTAATGAACTTTTAACCAATTTAAGGCAGAATTTTCACCGAGTCTCGCCGTTTGCATTTTTATTACCTTTTCCTCGTGGAAAATGATCCTTTCCCGAAGAACCACCGAGAAACCTTTTCCACGGTGTGAAAACAAGAGGAGAAATAACGGAGTTGTCGTTCGAGTTATTTCATCGGTGCTTCGCTTTGCTCGAAAAACAAATTTAAAATTTATGCATCCGTTTTTTTTTTCTTTTTGAGGGATTATAAAAAGGATAAGAGGTGTTGTGACTGAATTATCAATTCACTTTTCTCATGGATTCTCAGGATATATGAAGTATCATATATCCTGAATTTTAAACTTTATCATAAATCTCGATATAACGATTCCAAAAAATATAATTTCTACACTCTGTCGAATATTTATATTATTACGCGTAGGAAAGTATGTAAAAACTCATTACAATTCTAATATTTCTTTCGCTATCATTAAAAATACAATTTCTAAAATGCGAACTCGAACTAAAAATCGAACAACCAGAAGAAAATTAGGGTGCCTCTCGTCATTCTTTCGCCTCTCGATTTTAAAAATCTCTCCCTCCGTTGAAACTACGTATATCAAAAGAACGATAACTTGATATTTCCCTTCGATTTATTTCCTTTCGACGAAATCCTTTCTCCCTATCCTCCTTTCCAACTTCTGCCGTCAATTTATCGACACTGCTCTCGATTTTCCTCGCGGAAGTCTCATTAACACGAGATCTGGCGCGACGAGGAAGAAAGAATACGCGAAAAGGAAATTTTTCCCCTCCCTTGATGGGCACAATGGGCGGGGATAGGTCAAAGGAACGAAATATTCTTAATTACCCGCGAAACTAATTACCAAGGAGATAAGGAGCGTTGGAGAGGAGCTCGAGAAATGATGGGGTTGAAAAATGGAGGAAGGGGAGAGGACCATTGCGTCAAAAAGGGGTCGGTTGGAAAAATCATCCTCCAAGATCTGCTAGTCGTAACTTATTTTGCTTTGATGCAAAAATAACGAGACCCGCCACCCGAGTGTGAATTTCGTGATTTTATAGCCCTCCTCTTCCCCCTTTTTTTTCCAAGGTGAAAAATATGGATACGAAGAATTACGTTTCATGCGGTGAGACGGCTCGTTTAATTTTTCAAAAAGAGGGTTCCTCCCTCTTCCTTTTTCTGGAGGAATATCAAATATCTCGCAACGGATGGTGTAAGTAGCGTTGGAGATCGGATGGAGATTAAGGTATGATTGATGGAAAATGGAGAAATTGGAGAGTTGTTTTATTGAAAGAGATAAAACGGTTCTTTTGACTCTTCTCGATAATTTTCTCGATACCTGTGTATGAGATAAATTAATTGGGAGATCTTGAAATGGTGTAAATAGCGCGAACGAGATATTTCGCTTGGTCTCAGATTGGTTTCGAGATATCGGCGATTAGATCGAGGTTTAATTAAATTGCAAAGGATTTGTAAAAGAGATTTTTGGATATGGGAGCGATTATCACGAATATGTTATTTCATACGTTCAAATATTGGCACATTATCTCTATCGATTAAACGTGTAATTAAATATGACACTCGGAAATTAATTTATTTGAATCAGATTCGAATTATATTCGCGAAATTTGCATTTGTAAAATCGGGTATTCGCGCGTGAATATCTCTTGTAATTTATAAGATGATATGATATTCCGGATATTTCAACAAATCGTTTTCGCAATTTCCAAAATCATCTATTTTAAATAGAATAAATAAAACCAATTTCTACGAATACTTATATATATATATATATATAAGTATAATAGTATAAAGTAAATATATATTATATATTATATTTATATATATATAAAATAACGTTGATTTCGCTTTATAAAAAAAAAGTTATTGGCCTTTCGACGGGTTTAAACAAGTTTTCGAAATGGATTCCGTTTAGGAAACCGCAATATCCACCGGTTCGATTCCGCGATAAAGTCGCAAAATACTGAGCCTGGGTTACGGAGAAAACCCAGCAACCAGTATTTCCGTTTTCATTTCGTGGCGCATCCGTGGCGTAACGAAGAAAAACAGGCGTCCCGATCGAAGCCACCGTTTGAAATATGTACGCCCTTGACGGGATATTTGTCAAAAATCGATCGGCAACGAGGACGAAGGGACAAACACGCGTCTCGTTGGAGACGTTGGAACGGAAAAGCCCGCAACGTTGAAAGATGAATCGGAGGATGATTTAGCTGTTCCAGAGTGGCTTTCGAGATTGAAACGTCGCTACGAAACGATAACCGGAATCGTTCCATTTCCGGGATAATTATTTTTCGAAAGACGAACGTAAGCACGATTATCTTGGGCAAATTGTGCGACAATTTAACTGATTTAACTTTGTAATCGATGCAATGTTATTCTTATTTTTCTGAAGATATAAAAATCGATTGTTATCGGGATCCTTCTTGAATTTAACGGTGCAATTGTATAACGTGATCAGACAGTATAATATAACGAAAATGAAGATTTTAAAACGGAAATTTGTCTCAACGATTGGTTGGCTTACACTTGTACTTTGTTCGAATCTAATCCACTGGTTTAATCCGCTTCTCCAACCATAACCAACCCGCGCTACTTATCCGAATACCACAGCCACTTGTCTGGCCAAATCGACCTACTCTACCTGTCTCCTCATAATTGCTCTACTCTACTTGGTTGGCCATAGACGCTCTGTTCTACGTACGGTTTGTAACTTATTCTGTGTTCGAGCACTACTTGTCTATCCTCCTCGAACATCATTTTCTATATCCCAAAAAATTGTGCAACTACGCTTCGTGCAAATTGAACGAAATATATTTCAAAATTGAACGAAGTAATCTAAAAAATCCATAGCGCTTCCACGAAAACGCATTACACATTACCATCCTCCTCCGTATTCCGCAATGCAATTAAAAAAAAAGAGAGGAAGGATAAATCGGATTATCGAGAAACAGAGAGGGGTGGAGAGAATAAACGAAACGATCGGCCACGAAAATGGGAAAGGCTAAATGGTGGATCGGTAAATCGAGCGAAAAATCGGAAAGTTTTCCTCGTATCGTGGAGGATATTTCGAGCACACGGCCTCATCTACATAATACAAACGAACGATACGCGGATATTGATTCGAGATCGATTCCCACGGCCGGCTGGCCACAGGGGGATGCCAGTGCAAATACGGACCGGTTTATCCAGGTGCAAGTGTTTATCGCGTAACGCGAATTTATCGTGAAAATTGTGACTCGTGGTGAGCCTCGAACCTTGTAAATGACATTAACGGGAGATTAACACGCGAGTCGAACAACGGAAACGGCGAAGTTTTTTATCATCGAGATGGTAAAATCGTGGTGTGGGTGAACTTTTTCTTCGCTCATTTTTCGATTTTTTTCCACTTCTCCTCCCTTTCTTTCTTCTTTTTCTTTCTCTCTATTCGGTTTCTTCGTTTCGAAATTTTTCCAAACGATTCCATCGTATCGCGCGAATGTCAACTTGTTCAATTGTTTCCCTTTCTTCTAGTTGATCACGAAATACTCTCTGTGGGATATTTTTCATTAGAACGTGATTCTGTTATCCGATGATGGAAATATATCCGTAGAATTTCGTTTCTATTCTTTCCTACGAAGAAGAGAAAACGACGCGTCGTGGAATTTTAACACCTTCCATCCGACTTTTAGATCACTTATGAATAAATTAAAGTGCTGAAATTCTATCGAACTACGAAACATTTTCTTGGAAAATATTAATGAATGTTATTTTGTTAATTTGTATCCTCAAAGAAAAAACGTTTTCTCTATATTATTCATCTCTTTGCCTCGTTAAAGAGAAAAATTGATTGATTCTCTTTAGCCGCTAGATTAAACTCGAGAAAGAGCAGTATCGCGCCAAAATTTTGTTAAATCGGAACGAGAAAAGAGAAACGAGCAATATCGGGGAATCAGAGGTAATGGTGAGTGCAATTATTACTCCAATTCCAATAATTTATTCGAATGGAAATCATGAGACTGTAATGGAAGAAAACGCATCGAGAGACAACACTTCACGAGCACAACATTTCCGAAAGAAGATTACGAGTAGAACAGATGCTGTTCTCGTTATAGAGGCAACGAAATCTAAAATCAGCCGACCGATATATCTGCCCTGCTATCCGATTTATCTAAACTTAATTTCGCCCGAATTGCTCCGGCACCGGGTAAACGAGGCTATTGCTGTTAGTTTATAGAGCGGATATTACTGGATAGTACTTTACGTTTCGATGATAGAAAAGAGAAATGAAGAAATGAAGAAATGAAGAAACTAAACTCCTTTCGTTTCTCGATAGTGAATCTATTCTAACGTACCTTTGAAATCTATCTATTCTGAATAATATTAGTTTTTTGATCAACGAAATTAATGAATGCCAAAAAAGAGAGAAGAAGAGTGATGAAATTTAATTTTAAATATCAAATCTAATTTTGAATTACGCGTAAGATTAAAATTATAGAAAACTGCTATCGGCTAAAAAGATTCAAAGTTTTTTCTTTTATTCACCAGTTTTTGACTGTTCACAAATGAGGCTTTATCGCAGGATATTAAATATTAAAAAATATCTTAAAAGGGAAGTAAGGAAAAATCGTTGTTCGTGCAAATTAAAAATTATTCTTGAAATATTACAAGTATCTCTTTGTGATATTTACGATGATTTATAACCTGCTTTTTCTCATTACCTCCCTCTTAATATCCATTTGCTGTTGAATATTGAACGTAATCTCTAAAGTTGACGGAAACGGATTAGGCTGGTGCCACAGCAAGCAATGACGCAAGAACGAAAACAACGAAGCACCGAAGATTATGAGCAAGTTTACCTCGCGGATGGTGTCGTTCTTGTAGCGAGTTTACGAGAAAACTTGCGCAATCTGGCTGAATGATGCCCTCGAGAAATCAAATGGAATGCAAAATGTGTTAAATTAAACTTCTTTCTTGTCAAGAAAATAAGTGAAAATATTTTATATATCGTTTCATTGGACAGGATTTTGTTCGAGGAAAATGCTACTTGTTCCACCGTATATCGTGTTTAGTATCGTGTGTATGTATGTATCTATGTGTGTGTGTATGTATGTATCTATGTGTGTGTGTATGTGTGTTACACTCCTACTAAAGTATGATAAAGATCAGTATAAACGTAATTACGGTAGTTGGAACATTGCGAAATGCGAAAACGAAAGTACTTAACCATAAAATTTGCCATAACAAGATCAGAGGAGATATGCTGGGGATTCAAATTCATAATATTTACTAATGATAATTTTAATATCTTGGGACTCGAGATGATAATGAACAGATTATAAAACTCTATTAGCGTGTTTTAAGATCGTAAAATTTAATAGAAATAATTTCTCTGTCGTGGAATTAAAGCTTGTAAGGCCGGATAGCGATATTTTAGAAGTCTTTATAAACCGTAATAACGTAATCCTCGAAGCCTTGAAACTCGATAACAGAAAATTCTTTGAAGTCTTTGAACTCGGTAATGAAGACCCCGGAATCTCTGATTTTAATGTTGTCGAACCCGAATTTTCAATAGCTATCGTAATATCTATTAAAAATTGTTTTGTACACAAATGTGAATAACGAATTGGCTGCTATAAAATTGGCTATTACAAAAATGAATCGTGATTTGAAAAGGATTCGTTTTATCTATTATCGTTAAAAATATTTCTTACGTTTACGAATAACACGAAAATTTTCCACGATCACGATCATTCAACATAACGTTTTTCTTCTAAAATTTCAAAGTTTCTAAAAAACTGAAATTTCTAAATCAAAAAACTTGAAAGATCGAGAAGTGACATCGAAAAAAGAAATGACGTTTCGACTCACCACCGTGATAAGAATTGCCCCGATGAGGAGTGTACACGCCATTCCTTGGCTCAGGGCAGTGACTCGGCGTGTAATACTGCATGGGGTGATGAACGTAATTGCTCGGGGTGCTCGGCACGTGTATTGGATGGCAGTGCATGCATCTTCGCGGTGTCTCCGGCATACCCTGAAGAAAAAGAAAACGTCTGCAGTGCATCGAGGAAAGTAGAATCCATGATAAATTGCGACGATCGACGGCGCATCTTGGAAATTAAACGTCGTTGGATATCCACTGACGGGGGTGAAAATGTCGCGAGCGCGGAATACCGATTAAGCGAGGAACGTTGCTGCCAATTCTAGTAAAATGATCGACGATTTCCACTCGAGAGCTTAATGTTCGACGAACATCGACTTTTCGATCGATAATCGAATCAATGTACCATACGAATCCCATTAGAACGAGATTTATCTATTGATTCATCATAGTTTGTTTTATCGACGCACAAAATTATCCATGCTACTTTTTTCTACCCAATGTAATAATTTCTCAAAATTTCTCTAAATGAATGTATCGTTTACAGAAATAAAAGTTTAATCTCTAACTATCGACACTCGAAGATTTATCCGAATTAATTAAGGCACAAAATTGATCATGAAACTATTAGTGTTTAATGTACGTAAAAGAAATATAAAAAAAAACAAATAGAATATAAATATAGACAAACAACTTCTCGTTCATTATCGATTTCCAACAGGTCGATACAAACTTAATCCACGATTCATCGAACGATCCCATCTATCGAAATAAAAGTTTAATCTAATCTAACCTACACGAAGAATTATCCGAATTAATTAGGGGATGAATTCGTCATGAAACTATTATTTCAGAAATATAAAAAAAATAAAATAGAATATAAATATAGACAACTTCTCGTTCATTATCGATTTCCAACAGATCGATACAAACTTAATCCACGATTCGTCGAACGATCCCATCTATCGAAATAAAAGTTTAATCTAATCTAACCTACACGAAGAATTATCCGAATTAATTAGGGGATAAATTCGTCATGAAACTATTATTTAAGAAATATAAAGAAAAATAAAATAGAATATAAATATAGACAAACAACTTCTCGTTCATTATCAATTTCCAACAGATACAAACTTAATCTACGATTCATCAAACGATCCCATCTATCGAAATAAAAGTTTAATCTAATCTAACCTACACGAAGAATTATCCGAATTAATTAAGGGATAAATTCGTCATGAAACTATTATTTAAGAAATATAAAAAAAATAAAATAGAATATAAATATAGACAAACAACTTCTCGTTCATTATCGATTTCCAACAGGTCGATACAAACTTAATCCACGATTCGTCGAACGATCTCATCATTATATAGAAATAGAAGTTTAATCTAATCTAGCTACGAAGAATTATCCGAATTAATTAGAGCATCATGAAACGATTATATGGATAAATATAGACAAAGAAAAACCAGCTTCTCGTTCGTTATCGATTCCCAACGTTATCGATCGACAAACTGGACGATTGATCCACACGATTCCTCGAACGACCATCGATCCGCAAGATCATAAAAGCAAACTCCTATTTTTTAATACCTGCATAGAATGCTGGGATCGCAGGGACCTTATCGAGCCTGCAGGGTGAAGGGAGGGCACGCTGCCGCCGAAGTTGATCCCGGAATTCCTACACCCGCCAGGGGTGGACCAACCCCCGCGCACGCTGGCCGAAGTCCACCCCATCGTGCTGCCGCAATCGTCGACCAGCATTTTCACAGCGGACCTAGCATCTCATTGATCCTCTCTCGCCGTCTCGATGATCCGGAATTCCTTTTGATCCACCCGCTCTGTGCTCCACCGCCGCCGCTCTCTCGAGCTTCCCTCCTCCACCTCCTCCTCCTCCTATCTCCAAGATTATTCCTCGATGTTATATATCCTCGAAGTTAATCCCTGATAATTGCTGTCGATTCCACGGACGCTTGGAGGATATTGAAAATCGTCGAGGCACGATGATTCTATGATCCCTCCTCGCGAGAGTCATCTTTCGACGATGGGTTGGGCTCGAAACGATCCGGGCACGGATCTGCGAGAACAGAAAAATATAAGATGAGAGCTGGGAAGGTAGATGGCAGTCGATTAGAGAACTGTAATTAAGAGAGGGGAGAGGATGGTGGAACCGCGTGAGAGATAACGGTAAATGGAGGGACGGTGGACGGGATTAAAACTGTATTTTCTCGATGAGGATTCCGCTGGAACGACGACGAGAGATAAGGGATGATTCCGCGATGTTTTCCTTTTTGCTGCATCGTCGAGCTTTTCGAGGAGTGATTAAAATTGTCCCCTATAATTATAGGATGAACGGGGTGTTTAACCCTTTTGCGGTTACGAGAAAGAGATATAATCTCGGGTATAATGAAAGGAGTAAGATTTATTTTATCTATAACATTTATGATATTGCCGCGTTAATATGATTCAAGAAATGTTCGGTCGAGTTCAAATTTAAATCAGAATATATAAATCTATTGATCGTTACGATATTCTTAATTTTGAGGTATCAAAAGTATCTAAGATTAAGAGTATTGATGTAAAGACTGAAAGAAGAAAATTAAAAAAAATATTACGCAATATAATTTGATAAATTAGAATAAGAAACAGTGGACGATAGTTTTTACTAGTGAATATGGATTAATAAATGATTACGAGACACGAGAAATTACTTTACTGGAAACAGAAAAAAAACACATTTCTCTGCCTCAATAATCTCGAATACACGTATCATCGCGATTTATATTGTGCGCGTATGCCATAATAAGAATTAATCCGCGATTAATTCCGTGTACCGTGTAAATAATCTCAGCCGACTGTGAAGCGAATGTCGTGGGGGAGAGGGGAAAAAAAAAAAAAAAATAATACTACCGGTTCGGTCTATGGAACCGCGAATAAAACAGTCCGAAACGAGTTTTCTAGGGGTCTAGAAGCGAAACGATCCGTGAGCCAGAGAATATTGTTGACGTATAAAAAAAAAAAAATTTAACTCGCTTCATATGCATAAATAAACGGAACCATGGAAATGGATTCATGGTTCGACTTGTCCGTTTTCCGCTTGTAAAATTTATCACGAAATCGTTCCGCTTATATGTCCACGCAAAATTTCGCGAATATTCGTATGACGTCAGGAATGAGATTTATCTGAATCTCTGCGAAAATATTATAGTTTTTATATTCGTCCATTTGGGTATGTGTATGTGTGTGTGTATGTGTGTGTTCAAAAAGAAAACAAAGTGTTAGAAAAACAGAGATTTATGTATTTCTTTTGTGGTAAAATTTTGAATATTGAAAACCGAATGGAGATTTTTTTTTTTTTTTGTAAGTTAATAGGATAATAATCGTAACGTTTTATCATTGAATTATGCGTGAAAATTTTATAAAAATTTTCGTAGAAATATACATGTTGAAATTTAGATTAAATAAATTTTGTAACGTGTTTAAAATGATAAATATTATTTTTAGAAGCATGTTTCAATTTTGCAAATTTTAATGTTATATAATCTATTTGCGCGATATTATCTCATTTGAATTAATAAATTAATAGCTGATACGAAATTTTAACCAAAATTACATCTCCATTCTGCAAGATAGAGAAGGAAAGAGGAATGCAAAAATTATATATCGCATGATACAATTTGCAAAATTGTTTAAAATTGCCTGATAATTTTTTAAATAAATTTTACAACATATTTTACTTTATTTCCTATATTGATATTTTCAAAAATGTATCTATATATTTTCTATTCATAATAATTCTATGCGTTGTGTATCCAAGTGTGTTCATATTGGGATACAAAATATCGATATATGCGAATAAATGGAGCGTTCCTTCCTCGATAAATTATTATTTTTTTTTTTTGTTTTACAATCTTTCCACCCTATAACCCAAGTGTTTCAATGTGAATAAAAAATACCTCGCGATATACATGCCTAACGTTACAAATACTGAATTTGGCATAAAAAATATTTTTCGATTTTTGCAATCAATATTACTTTTCAAAAAAATATTACTTTTCACACATTTAACGTTAAATATAAATATAAATATCTACAATTCCAAAAGATATCTATACTATTTTTTTTTTTTCTACAATATGTTACATTCGAAAACTCGACTCAAATCTGCAATACCAATCATCTACCAATTGTATTGATAAATACCTATTATTCCAAATCCTATAAAACCGATGGAAACCCCTATAAAGTATTTTTTTTTTTTGAAAAAAAAATCCCCATTTTTAAACTTATTTCTGAATTATTAAATTCAGAAAGAAAAAATTAAATTAAAATCTCACACAATGCGCAACCATTTCGAATTAATCCATGCAACTTTCTCTTATCGATTCTCGATCCGATAAATTTACGACTTCCATAGTTGATGGAATGACCGGTTTCGAAAAACTCGATACTCGATTTCACGGCCGAGGTTCGTGCGCGCAACTTTCGCAATAAGAAGGAACGGATCGGAAACAAATGGCGGATTTGTATGCGCCACTCCCCGTATATATTTCAACTTTACCACGAAAGAGGAGGAATTTCGTTGCGGAATGCAAAAACATCCCGGTGCCGTAAATCTTTTTACAAAACGCTTTTTAATCGAAACACTTTGCGCGAACGAAGCCCGGAAGTTCGTTTCCAAACGCCAATAGTTTCGAGATCGAGTTTTTAAATACGAGTAAAAACGATCAAGAGGATGAAATTTACGATTCACGATCAGTTTCGCGAGTTATTTTCCATCGATTGGAATATATTCGAAATTGTTTGTCTCGTTCTTTCGTCCAATTCATTTAATTATTAATGTATTCATTGTATCGAAATACATTAATATTTTTAGATTAAAAGATCTTGAAATTTTTCTTCGAAAAAATCTCATTTTCTTCTCATATATTATATTTAAATTTTTGTCAAAAAAATAATTTTTAAAGTTGATTAAATTTTAAATTAAAGAATGAGAATTACATTATATATTAAGATGAACTTATCGTGTTTATCCGCATTCGCTTTGATTAAATCCTTTCCTCTCTTTCTCTCTCTCTCTCTCTCTCTCTCTCTCTCTCTCTCTCTCTCTCTCTCTCTCTTTCTTTTTGAATCCAATATTTCTTCATTAAAAAAACATCAAAACTTTTCAGGAAAAAAGGAATATCTCGTGTTTCTCGCCATTTCTTGAAAAGAAAAAAAAAAAAAAAAAACTCGACTTAGCGATTCAACATTTGCATTTCCCTCGAAACATCCCACTATAACTCGATACTTATATCTTTCCCACAGGAAATCCCTCTCCCTCTCACGCTGCTCGCTTAAATCGTTCTCCCCCGGCAGAGTAAGCAACCCTTGTTCCATACAAATCATCACTTACATCCTCTCTTCAAGAGAAAGACCATTTTTTTTTTTTCTTTTCTTCGTAACAAAAACGCGACCACCTCGTACATTTTCCAAGATCGTCCTTTCTTCGTGGAAAACACTGTTAACACCCCCCAGGCATGTGAATATCTCTCCATCCCCATAACTGCGATGAAACCTTCTCTAAAGCAACTTATTTTCTAGAAAACCTTCCTCTCGCATATACCGTGAAATGATATATGGAATCACGATCGAAGACGAATAATAAACGAAAAAACTATTGCTCGTTCTTAACGAAATTTTAATTTTCTTGATTACTTATCAATTCGAAAATAATACGAAAATATATATCTTGCAAATGTTAATCGTTCCAAGATTACGAACAATATTAAAATTCATCTATCCTTAAATTCTTCCACCCTCTTTCTTCAACGCGTCTCTCAAGGGACATATAAGATTTCCAAAGGCATAATTCCCACAATCGAGATCTTAAGAATCATAAAATCCCTAATTCTTCTCTAATTGCAATTTATCACAGGACATCCAGCATTTCCACCATTCATTTCGACCACCTCAATACACCACCTCTATTCATCTTCCAGTGATCTTGAATATTATGGCTCGTAGACCACCAAGAAGAAGCCGAGTTGACACAGGCGAGAAACTTTCGATCTTGCGGATGGAACATCGATGATCGTCCGATGGATCCAAGGATAATCCGACTAGATTGAATCCACCACCGTCTCCAGCGATCATGCCACTCTTCCCCACACGTGCGCCATTTTATCTCGTTCCATGTCCGTGCCTACGCGAAAACATTCTTCGACAAGCGTGCACGGATTACGAAACGTCCAACGAAGCGCGTTATCGCCGCCATCCCACCCTTCCGGTGACCTTTCGCCGTGCGGGGGCGGCGTTGGACGAGTGTCGGACAGGAAGTTGGAGCGCGCGAAAGGCACGTGCTTCGAGCAACCCCGAACAACCGACCCACTCGTGCTTCTCTCACGTGTTGCCACGCTTCGTGTGGAGGAGGAGATGCTTCGACGTGGTTGTTTTGCAAATTGACGAGCGCGATAACCGTTGCGAGGCGAAGAAATTGGCGAAGGAAACGTTGAAATTGCGCCAATTGGATTCTCAAAGCGTACGAAACATTTTTCCAATCCTTTTTGATTTTTTTTTTTCTCTCTTCAACTGGAATTCGAATTGGAAGTTTCGAAGATCGAAACTTGGAAGCGTGGATCTTGAAAATTCGATCTTTGATGAGATGGTTCTTTTAGGATTTTTTTTTTTTGGAAATTTTTTTGGAAAGAAAATTTTTGACGAAATATCGAGAGAATTTCTTTTTTAGGTAAAGTTTTTTTTAGAAAATTTGAAAAGGTATATAAGTTGGATCGAAAAATGATGAATATAGATTTGATTTTTGAATAAAAATTTTCGAGTCTCCCCTTGTTAAAAAGTATTTCAAGACAAGATTATTTTTCGATTAAGTGCATCGTATTCTGTTTCTTATTATTTTGGTCCGTGAACTCTTCTAATCTCTCCGCAATATCTCGTGAAGTGTATTGAACGGAACGGTGATCGATTTATCGGTGAAACGTCAAACAAAGTTGAATATCCTCCCTGAATATCCCCCACGATCGAAGGGTGAAATACGAAAACCGTGGTATCAGCATTGCGCTTCGAACTTTCAGCCCAACA